GCAAACTGAAGGAGCAACACCTCATACTCCACCTCGGGAGCCTACAGCCGGATAGCTTGAGCATAGAATTCACCAGTTTCAAAATCTCCCCTTTCCCAGCCTCATCCCATGTCCAACCCTCCCTCGCATCCTCACCTCCTTGATTTGACACAACCTCTCCATCTTCTTCCCCACCTATTCATCCCACCCTTCCCACTGATCAATCCCCACCAACCCCTACCTCCATGCACCTATCACCATCCCACCTAGCTTCCCCCAGCCCCACCCTTCTTCTCTCTATTTATTTCCCAGCTCCCTTCGCCCTCCTCAGTCCTGATGAAGTGTCCTGATCCGAAACATCGACTCTCCTGTTCCTCTGACGCTGCCTGACTTGCTGTGCTCCTCCAGCTACACACTCTGTTGACGCTGACTCCAGCATCTGAAGTTTTTGCTATCGCTAACCCTGATCCTTTTTCTGGTTAATTTGTTCATTGGATGTGGGCATCTCCGGTTAGACCAGCATTTTGTCCCTTCCAGAATTACCCAGAGAGCAATTAAAAGTCAACCATATTTCTATGGGTCTGGAGTCACATGTGGTCCAGCCAGGTAAGGACATCAGATTTCCTTCCCGAAAGGACATTAGTGAACCAGATCAGTTTTTAAGACAATCTCTTCTATTGCAGATTTTATTGAATTCAAATTCATCATCAGCCATGGTGGGATTCAAAGAACAGGGAACATGTCCAAAGAACATTGGCCTGTGGTTCAGAATTACCAGTTCTGTGACATTACCAGTATACCACCACCTCCCCTTGTGATAGAGGGAACATCATTGATGTAACAGTGGAAGGTCATTGGGCACGATGCTATCCTAATGAACTCCTGTAAAGACGCGACTGAGACGATTGATCTCCAACTACCCTGAGCATCTACCTTTGTGCGAGGAATATCTCCAGACGTGGAGAATTTATCCCTTGGTTCCTAATGACTCCAATTTGACTGGGGCCCTTTGATGCCACATTCAGTCAACTGCAGCTTTGTTGTCAAGGATAGTCATTGTCACCTTCCTTTGTTGCATTCAACTTTTTCTTGATACAAAAAGGTCAGGAGCTTTGTGATGCTGGAAGAACCCAAGCTAAGCATCAGTGAGCTGATTATAGCTGAATGAATGCTTGGTAGCACTGTCCTCATCAATGTTTGCCATCACTTTCCTGATGTTCAATGGTAGACTGTATTTGCGCCTATTTCGACTTATCATTTATCCCTTACCCCTGTTCCCCACCCTATCTTCTGCATAAAAACCAATAATTTTCCTACCTACCATCAGTTCTGGGGAAGGGTCAGTGGACCCGAAACAGTAACCCTTGATGTCTCTTCATAGATAATGCCAGACCTGCTGAGCTTTTCCAGCAGTTTCTGTTTTTGTTACTGCATTTGTGCCGTTTATACAGGAGTTTCCGAATCTCCACTGAGATTAAAGTAGGAAATCAGTGGGCCTAGCAGTAATTCTTCTGTCTCAATTATTTTTTGGTCTTGTACAGAATTTTTAGTTTGATAAAAAAATGTTTCAGGATGCTACTGTGTAGGAGGGGGAAGAGAATTGTCAATAGGAAAGTAAGAAAGGAGTTAACAGAGGCTACTGAAGGGGCAGTTAAATGTTCAGTGGAGGATTGATTGAACTTCTGGATAACCTTTGGGGCTACTAACTTTAGCCTTTTGCTGCATTTCACCAGAGCTTTCATTTATGTTACAGTCAGAGTTGGGGACAACTGTTTGGTGTTTCCAAGCGCATGCGGTTTTCATTAGTTTAAGTTAAGTTATTCATGACAATGACAAATCTAGAATAACAGCATCACCACAGGACTCTTACTTATCCATAAGAGCATAAGAACTAGGAGCACGAGTAGGCCGTCTGGCCCTTCGAACCTGCTCCGCCATTCAATAAGATCATGGCTGATCCTTTCGTGGACTCAGATCCACTTACCCGCGTTCTCACCGTATCCCTTAATTCCTTTATTGTTCAAAAAAAATCTACCTTTTTTTTAAAAACATTTACTGAAGTAGTGTCAACTACTTCACTGGGCAAGGAATTCCATAGATTAACAACCCTCTGGATGAAGAAATTCCTTCTCAGTTCAGTCCTAAATCTGCTCCCTCTAATCTTGAGGCTATGCCCTCTTGTCCTAGCTTCACCTGCCAGTGGAAACATCCTGTCTACTTCTATCTTATCTATTCCCTTCATAATTTTATATGTTTCTATAAGATCCCCCCTCAATCTTCTGAATTCTAATGAATATAATCCCAATCTACTCAGTCTCTCCTCATAAGCCAACCCCCTCAACTCCGGAATCAACCTACTGAACCTCCTTTGCACCCCCTCCAGTGCCAGTACATCCTTTCTTAAGTAAGGAGACCAAAACTGCACACAGTACTCCAGGTGTGGCCTCACCAGCACCTTGTACAGCTGCAACATAACCTCTCTGCTTTTTATTTCAATCCCTTTAGCAATGAAGGACAAAATTCCATTTGCCTTCCTAATTACTTGTTGTACCTGCAGACCTACCTTCTGTGATTCATGCACAAGGACACCCAGGTCCCTCTGCATAGCATAGATGGCTAATTTCAGAGAATGCATTGATTGCAGGCTACAGAAAAGTTATCGTAGTATTCCTTTGGCTGCATTATTGCAAACAGACTCAGTAACCCAGGAATCTAAGCCCTCCCTCCTGCACGTAGTCTTAACCCACACATCTGCTCTCTCTGCCTTTTCGTATATTCACTTGCATGTAGTACTGGAAATAATCCAGAGATTACAGTCTTTGAGGTCCTGCTTCTCAATCTCTTCCGAGCTCCCAAAATTCTTGTCATCCTACATTCTATCTCTGTTGTTGATCCCAGAATGAACCACAATCTTTGACTGTTTGCCTTCCCCATTCAGAATGCCCTGCAGCCATTAGCAACATCCTTAATCCTGACCGCAGGGAGGCAACACAGCATCCTGGAGTCACATCTATGACTGCAGAATAGCTAGTTTGAACAACTCACTATTGAGCCTATTACCACGATTGGTCTTCCTGTCTTTCTATTCTACCATTATGCAGCTTAGCTCTGGCTGCACTCCAGAGGAACCATCATTCTTACTGTTTTCTAACACAGAAATCTATCCTTCATTGAAATGCATACTGAGACTTTCCTGACGATTTTCCTGCTTCTGGCTGTGTTGACAGAGAATCAAGGGTTATGGGAATAAAGCAGGAAAATGAAGTTGAAGATTATCGGATCAGCCATGGTCTCTTTGAATGGCAGAGAAGATATGATGGGCTGAATGGCCTACTTCTGCTTCTATGTTTTATGGTCTCCCTCCCTCCTTCTGACTGGCAATCACGCTTTCCTTCTCCTACTGCACTTCCTTACACTCTCAGGTGACCATGTCTAAAAATATACTACCTCTGTAACTCTCAGCCTTGCTGTGACTCCAATCAACATTCAAGCTCTGAAACCTGCCACCTATGAGCATCTTAGACCTCCCACACACTGCAGGCTGCAGAGCACACGGGATTAAGCTCCCTTGCCAAGCCTTTGGATAAAATACTCCTCCTCCAAATTTCAGCCAAATGGAAAATTACGTGGGTTTCTTTTTTAAAATTTTTTAGAAAAGGAGAAGCTGGAACATTTACTAATGCAGCTTTAAAGGAGAGAAAAACAACTTAGTCACTATCTGTCAATTGGCTCTGTCTGCACTGATGTCAATTCTGTCAGCATTCACAAATTCTGGTAGAGTTCCTGTTGGATTAACTGCTGCCCCCTGTCTAATCTGGGCCTGGAACCTCAGGCTTTTACAACAAACTTTTTTTACAGCAAACATCTCACCTGTAAGGGGGAGAAGAACAAAGAAACCATCAGCATCAAGAAAAGAGCAAGAATGAGATTCAAGATTATAAAGAACAGAATGCTTTCTAAAACCACTGATAGCTTGCCCGTAATTTACCAAACTGGGAACCCCCTCAGTGTTTCGTCATTGAGCTAGCAAGGTTATTTGTAACAAAGTGAGAAGGATCTCCCCCAACTTACAAGTTTTAGTAGATGCAAGCATTGCTGGCAAGACCAGCATTTGTTATCCATCCTTAATTGCCCTTGAAATTAGCAGCTTGTTGGGCAAGGGTCAACCCCATTGCTCTGAGTCAGGAGTCGCATGCTGGTCAGACTGGGTAAGAATTGCAGATTTTCTGAGCTAAAGGACATAAGTGACCCATTAGTGCTATTTGCAACAGTCAATAATGCTAGTTGTTACAGTCACCATCATAAGACTAGCTTTAGATTCCAGATTTATCAATTGAATTCAAATTCTAATGTTTGCTGTAGTGGGATTTAAGCTCAGAACTTGACCCTGGGCCTGGGAATTACTAGCCTGGATGACATTACTACTGCACCATCTTCTCCTCATAAGATTCCTTTCATAAGTCAAGTTAGCTGGTCAACCATCCAAAGGAACTTGCAATATTAGAAATAGTCTTGGCTGAACTACTGAATTATCACGTTTGCCCCGATGGCTCATCCTAATGTATCATTCCAAAGAGAGCTCATACACATGCGTAAGCTGAGGTAGATCTTGGTGGGTCACTTTTTAAAGTGAATAAGTATCAGTTCAAGTGAGCAAAACTTGACTGGTCTGAGATGAGAAAGAAGGAATGAAAGTGACAAAATGGTGAAGAGAAAAAGTGCTTTTGAATGTCAGAGTGAGCTGTCTAGTAAATGCAGCTGATTAATGACGATTGTGGTTTGCCCTGAAGTAACTACACCTCAGCAGTAATCCAGGCCTGACTCACAGTTGGACAGTATCTTTTTATAAATATCTTGAGACCTTAAATCCATATTGGGGGAGATTAAAGTAGCTGATTGGCCAGAGCCAAGCTTAGCTCTCACTTAAATTAGCTTAAATGCTCAGAGGAGCGACAAACATACCTCCGTGTTTCCAAGAGTGTGTACTTGTGGAAACCATTAGCTTAGCAGCAAGAGCTATAATGGGAAATACGCAAGGCACCACTGTGGATGACCTGCAGGCAGTGGAGCTTCACCACTGGTACAAGAAGTTCATGATTGAGTGCCCATCGGGACAGCTGACTCTGCATGAGTTCAAACAATTCTTTGGCCTTAAGGGATTGAATCAAGAAGCTAATGCCTACATTGAACAGATGTTTAAGACTTTTGATATGAATAAGGTAAGGAAAGGGAGAATCAAATTCTTTTAATAACTTTATCTAATGGAAAGTGTGTGGATAATTGGGGGTAATGTGTGAGTGGAATGTGATGGTGGATGATGGAAGGAAATGGGTTGAGATTGGTGAAATAGAGTGATGGAGTGAGATGAGTGATGCAGAATGGGCATGGTAAACAGACTATTAGATGCACGGTACACTGAACAATAAAGAATCATTGATATTGATGGTGAGATATATAATGGACAGAAGTTCACTGATATAGTTTACTGATTGAGCTGAATGCCTGGTGAAGTGAGATTAATCATGGAGAGCCATCATGAGATAGATAGTACAGAGAACCCGGAGTGATTATTGTGAGGTGTAATCAGGCTGCACACAAAATCATAATTGCATTAGACATAGCTCAGAACAAATTCATTCAACTGATTCCAGGGATGAGAATGGGTGAAGAATGAGGACTAGACACTCCAACAGCTTCTAAACATTCCAGGCAAAGTCCCAGAGAACCAAGGCATTTTTCTCACCAGCTTGCCTCTGTATTATCCATTATTTTAAGATGAAAATTTGGACCAGTTAGAGGCGTGAGAGCTTATCTTGAAATATATAAGCTCCTGAAGAGCCTTGACCTGTAAATATTGAAGTGATGCTTTCCCTTGCAGGGCAGGCTAGAACCAGGGGACACAGTTTGTACATCCCCAGACAGTAGCGGAAGCATGTCATTGTGTATTTTTAAGGCGGAGGTATTTAGATTCTTAACTAAAAAGGGAGTCACAGGAACTTCAGCTGCCTGGGTTTAGGGTGCAGCGTAGGCAGGAAAACAGAGTTGAGGCCAAAATCAGATTAAACATTATCTCGCTGTATGCCATAGTAGCCTAAGGGACCTCTGGTTGGAGGCACCCTGGCAACATTGACAACTTCGACAACAAGCATGAGATTAGCTGTTCAGTGATGACAAAGCTTTCAGTAAAATATTGACAATGATTGAAATGATCATGTTTGACAACTTGACAACAGGAATTCCGCATTGAAGGAAGATGGGATGTTCTATTCTGCATATTCACACCATTAATTGTGTTTCTTCCAGCACCAACAGCAGGTCTAAAATAAAGAACATGCTATCAGCAAAGATTTCAATAATCTAACAACCAAATTTCTAGATATTTAAAATATGATTTATCTACTGAGTTGGTGGGCAGAGATTTAATTGTCACAGTGAGGCTTTTGAGGATTATGCACTGCTGGGTGTTTTAGACTGTGGGAAGGTTGTAATTGCCCACTGAAAGGCCTCAGTTTGCGGCAGTGGAAGATGTTTGTCCACGAACATTCTCAACATGTGCTTGCTGAGGCCACAGAAATGTTGGTGGATTCTCACCCACCTTCAGGTAGACAGGTAGAAAATCCCTCTCCTCACTCCAATAATTTCCATTGATTCCATCATCAAAGCTCCTCTGACATTCTGAACTGAAAGCCACCAAGTTATCCCCTTTGGTTTCAGGTGTGAAAGAAATAAATCAGAAAGAGTTCAGAGAAAAGTAACAGGTACTTTAAAAAGCCACCAAGGGACTTAAAAAAGCTCAACCTTGAAAGTGGAGTCAGAGAAAGACAGGGTGGTGAAGAATGCATTTGGCATGCTTGCTTTCATTGGTCAGAGCATTGAATATTGGAGTTGGGACATAATGTTGTGACTGTACAGGACATTGGTGGGGCCACTTTTAGAATACTGCATAGAAATCTGTTCACCCTTTTATCAGAAGGATGTTGTTAAATTAGGGTGCAAAAAAATTACAAAAATGTTGTAGGGACTGAGTTATAGGGAGAGGCTGAACAAGCAGGGCTTTGTTCCCTACGGTATCAGAGGCTGACGGATGACCTTATCAAGGTTTTTAAAATCATGAGGGGCATGGATAGTGTGAATAGCGAAGGTCTTGTCCCTGGGGTGGGGAGTCCAAAAGTCGAGGATGTAGGTTTCAGGTGAGAGGGGAAAGATTTGGAAAGGACCTGAGGGTTAACTTATTCACGCAGAGGGTGGTGTGTTTATGGGATGAGCTGCCAGAGGAAGTGGTGCAATTATAACATTTAAAAGGCATTGATGGGTATATGAATATGAAGGGTTTAGAGGGATATGGCACATTGGACTAGGTCAGATGGTATAACAAGGTGCAGGGCTGGATGAACACAGCAGGCCAAGCAGCATCATAGGAGCAGAGAGGCTGACGTTTCGGGCCTAGACCCTTCATCAGAAAAGGGGGAGGGGAAGGGGGTTCTGAAATAAATAGGGAGAGAGTGGGAGGCGGATAGAAGAGGGATAGAGGAGAGGATAGGTGGAGAGGAAACAAACAGGTCGAAGAGGCGGGGATGGAGCCAGTAAAGGTGAGTGTAGGTAGGGAGTTAGGAAGGGGATAGGTCAGTCCAGGGAGGACGGACAGGTCAAGGGGGCGGGATGAGGTTGGTCGGTAGGAGATGGAGGTGCGGCTTGAGGTGGGAGGAGGGGATAGGTGGGAGGAAGAACAGGTTAGGGAGGCAGGGACGAGCTGGACTGGTTTTGGGATGCGGTAGGGGGAGGGGAGATTTTGAAACTTGTGAAATCCACATTGATACCATTGGGCTGCAGGGTTCCCAAGCGGAATATGAGTTGCTGTTCCTGCAACCTTCGGGTGGCATCGTTGTGGCACTGCAGGAGGCCCAGGATGGACATGTCGTCTGAGGAATGGGAGGGGGAGTTGAAATGGTTCGCGACTGGGAGGTGCAGTTGTTTGTTGCGAACCGAGCGTAGGTGTTCTGCAAAGCGGTCCCCGAGTCTCCGCTTGGTTTCCCCGATGTAGAGGAAGCCACACCGGGTACAGCGGATGCAGTATACCACATTGGCAGATGTGCAGGTGAACATCTGCTTGATGTGGAAAGTCTTCTTGGGGCCTGGGATGGGGGTGAGGGAGGAGGTATGGGGGCAGGTGTAGCACTTCCTGCGGTTGCAGGGAAAAGTGCCGGGTGTGGTGGGGCTGGAGGGGAGTGTGGAGCGGACAAGGGAGTCACGGAGAGAGTGGTCCCTCCGGAAAGCAGATAAGGGTGGGGAGGGAAAGATGTCTTTGGTGGTGGGGTCGGATTGCAGATGGCGGAAGTGTCGGAG